TACCACTGTACTAATCAATATATCCTTTCCTAAGCTCAACATTCCCACAGGATTATGGGAACTGTAGTCCAAAACCAGCTGGAGACCCAGGTTTGGGTAACTTGGCACTAGAGGAACTCACTGTGCTGGCTCAAAGCTAGCGCAGCTGTTTTGTTGAATGTGACCCAACGTGCTTTAAAAGTATGGTTTGGATGCAACCGATACCACGTTGCAGAATACCCCCGCCCAAAACAAAATCAAAAAAACCCCAAACCCCACCTGTAGACTTGGGATGGATCCCCAATTGTCATCTAGTCCAACCCCTTGCTCTGCAGGAAGGCAGCTGAAACTACCACTCCGTATTGCAAGCCTGTCTGATTTAGGGCAGGTAAAAAATGTTGCCAATAATAAGTAAAGTTAAAGCGCTGGCTTTTCTCCGCAGGCAAAATCCACGATGATTCCTCCCACCACGGCGAGCCCTTCTAGTGATGCCATTTTCCCCACGTTGTCGTCTCAGGAACTGTGGAGGTCCCAGGTGGCTGGGTATGCAGGATCTGTCACCCGCCACATCAGCCACCGGGCCAACAACTTCAAGCGGCACCCAAAGAGGAGGAAACACATCCGGCCTTCGCCTCCCCCACCGCCCAACACCCCTTGCCCCATCGACCAGGTCCGCTTTGGCGAGATCCACCCGCAGAGGTCCTTCTGGGAACTGTTGTTCAACGGGTGCATTCTCTTCGGGATCGAGTTCAGCTACGCCATGGAGACCGCCTATGTGACGCCTGTCTTGCTCCAGATGGGCTTGCCGGATCAGCTGTACGGAATGGTCTGGTTCATCAGCCCAATATTGGGTGAGTGCTGGGGCCCCGATCCTCAGGAAGTGATCTTAACTGCTCTGGGAACTGGTGGGACTTGGCAAAGCGAACTGTGGCTGGGTTGCGTCCAGCACTAGTCCCATTGAAGTCAACGGGGGCAGCTAGCTCAGTGCAATTCATTCTGATGGGTCTGCTCTGACCAGGGCTTGGTTGCATGGACTTGCGATGTTCCTAAGGGCAATCCCCTCCTGATGGTCCCCAGTCACAGGCTGAACTGGTACAGCCCAACACAGATTGGCCTTTATCTGAGACCTCTGTCTTCCTCTCCCTGGTCAGAATGTGCTGAATGACACTCTTCTTTTCAACTCTTTTTTTTTTTTTTTTGCAATATAATTTTTCATTGAAATTTTCAAACATTTTCACAACAAACTCCATATCCAATAATTACATTGTTTCATAACCCCCCCCCTCGACAGTGTTTCCAACTGAAACATTTTCTACTGTATCTATTACTAAAAGTTTCTCCATTTACTGTTATCTTGGCATTTTCCTTCCGTTGGTTTTATCTCGAATCTTGCTGATGATTTCATTTGACTATGGTGGGTTTTTGTTTTTTTAATCGTTCCCAAAAGGGCTCCATTCTTCTGTGAAAATTTCGTCGTTTTTATCTTTAAATTTTGCTGTCAGCTTTGCCATTTCTGCATCTGAAGGTAGCCCTGTTTAGGGAAGTTTTTAATATTTGATGAATTATTGTATTCTAATCTTTTGTTGGAAGCCACCCAGAGTAGCTGGGGAAACCCAGCCAGATGGGCGGAGTATAAATAATAAATAATTAAAAAAAAATATTATTTTAGAAGCCATTCCTCCTTCGTCGGAACCTTCTCTTCTTTTCATCTCTGTGCCTATAATATTCTAGCTGCTGTTTTCACGTACATAAATAGTTTATAGTCATCTTCTTTGGAACTTCTGTCCCTATTATACCTGCAAGGAAAGCTTCTGGTCTTTTGGGAATAACCCATTAAAACATTTTCTTCATTTCATTATATATCATTTCCCAAAAGCCTTTACCTTTTTTTTTTTTTTTTACATTTCCACCACATATGGGGGAATGACCCATCTCCCTTCTTCTCTCTTCCAGGTTTCCTGCTGCAGCCCCTGCTGGGCGCCTGGAGCGACAGGTGCACATCACCTTTTGGACGGAGGAGACCCTTCATCCTGGTCCTGGCAATTGGTAAAAACAGTCATACCTCGGGTTACAGCCGCTTCAGGTTGCGTTTTTTCGGGTTACGGACCGCCGAAACCCAGAAGTAACCCGTTCCGGGTTTCGGCGGTTGTGCATGCGCAGAAGAGCTAAATTGCGCTTTGCACACGCGCAGAAGCACCAAATCTCAACCTGTGCGTGCGCAGACGCGGGTTGCGAACACTGTGGGTTGCAAATGTGCATTCTGCACGGATCACGTTCGCAACCCGAGCGTCCACTGTAGATGCATTTTTTGACCCAACTTCCCCAACTGTTCTTCATTAGGCTTGGTTTCCAGACCCAAGGCAACATTTACAACTGTTGTTCCATCTGCCACTGGCCATGTGACCCCTGGAAAGTTGCCCAGAAGGGAACGCAACCAATCTTTGGCTCATGAAAAAGTACCTACTTGAACCCGAGCCTTCTTTGCTGTTTTTTGACTGCCTTGATCTGGTTCCTCCTCCTCAGGGGCATTGTTGGGCCTTTCGCTGATGCTGAATGGCAGGGATATGGGCACGGCCTTGACCGACACTGTGAGTGACCACAAGTGGGGCATTGCGTTCACCATCTGCGGAGTCATTCTGATGGACTTCTGTGCCGACTCTGCGGACAACCCCAGCCATGCCTACATGATGGACGTGTGCAGCCCGTCGGATCAGGACCGAGGACTCAACATGCATGCGCTGCTAGCTGGTGAGGTTTTTGGCATATTGGCAATGGCAGTGCTGGCCCTCTACCTGAAAAGATGCCCAGAGCAGCTGCTGAGATGGTTCTGCCCCTCGGGTTCACAAACTGAAATGTCACAGCAAGCAAGGAAAAAGAGAATGGGAGGGAGGAGGAAAAAGCAAACTGGAGGACAAGCTCTTAAACATAGTTGGTGATGTTAGAGTGTTCTGATGACATAACACATATTATTTTGCTGTAAAGTGTGAGCCAGTATGGCGTATGGGAGATCTGGGTTCAAATCCACACTTAACCGTGAAAATCACTTGGTACCCATGGGTCTGCTGGTATCTCTGAGCTGAGCCTACCTCACAGGGTGGTTGCGTGTGTGCAGAACCATGTATGCTGCCTTGAGCATTTAAATAATCCTTATAGCCAGTGCTTTTTTTTCTAAACAAATGTTTAGGGGTACTCTCATTTTCCTACTCATATTGAAATACTGCCCCACAATGAGGCCAGACTTAGCTTCTCAAAATGTTTAGGGGTATGCGTACCCCCAGAAAAGAAAAAAAGCACTGCTTACAGCAACACTGAAAGATAGGTCTGCATTATTATGCATTATCAGATGGGCAGATAAAGCTAAGAGGGAGAAAATGTGGGTCTAAGGACATCTAGGCATATTCATCTAGGCAGGAGTGAGACTTGAGCTGGGCAATTTTATGATTCATCGTAGCTCAGCCTCTTAAGTCTCTGGGCATTTATGTATTACATTTATACCCCACCTCTCCTCCAAGGATCTAAAGGTGGTATCTATAGTTCTCCCCCATCCATATTATCCTGACAACAACCCTGTGAAGGAGACTGCACGGCCCAGTCTCCAGATTCTAGTCCGACACACTAACCACTAAACCACGCTGCCTCTCCATATGCATCTCCAGCTAGGGCTGTGAGAGAACTCTAGAATCATGGAATGGTAGCACTGGAAGTGACCCAACAGGTCATCCAGTCCACCCCCTGTTTAAAAGCCTGGAGAGCTGCTGCCTGACAGTGTAGGCCATACTGAGCTAAATGGACCAATGGCCTAAACTGTTATAAGGCAGCTTCATAAGTGCCTGTGAGAGGCGATTTCAACTTTGTTCCTCTCCCCTCTTGGCAGGTCTCGGAGGTGGCTTTGGCTACGTTGTGGGAGGAATCAACTGGGACCAGACTGGCTTTGGCAGGGCGGCAGGGGGCCAGCTCCGGGTCATTTACATTTTTACCTCAATCACGCTGACGCTAGCGACTGCCTTGACTTTGGTCAGTATTCCCGAAAGGCCCTTGCAGTCTTTCAGCAAGCTGAAGAAGGTGATGAAGAGCCCCAACTTCCCTCTTCCTCCTTCGCCGCCCCTTCTCTTCGAGGACTGCGGGAACGAAAACCTCACGGCCCAGAACCCCGTCCGTTTGTACGCCAGTTTCACGAGCCCCATTTCCCCACTCAGCCCGCTCACGCCCAAGTATGGCAGCCTCATCAGCCGGGACAACTCCTTGACGGGGCTGAGCGAGTTCGCCTCATCTTTCGGGACCTCAAATATCGACAGCGTGCTCATCGACTGCTTCACGGCAGGGCACGATGGCTACTTGAGTATCCCGGCTAGCTTGCCCCGGCAGGGCATAAGCGTCAGCCTCCCTAGGGCCCCTGAAGGATTCCACTGCCACGAAAGTGCCGCCTTGGAAGCAGGAGAGAATGTCGGGGTGCTTGGGCCAGAGGGAGATTGCCTGAGGGTGGGTTCCCTGGACGCGATAAAACCACGGTCGTCGGGAATCCTGAAAAGACCGCAGACTTTAGCCATCCCGGATATTATCACAGGGAATCTCCCCGAAAGCAGTAGGAGAAGGAATGTAACCTTCAGCCAACAGGTGAGTGGTGAAAATGGTTATTTAGTAGTCAAGTTCAGCAAAAGGCCCCTGCAAGTTGAGTTAGAAGCTTCCTTCTTGCTGATTATAATGGTTTCCAGATTGGTTCAGCTGTTTAATCAACCTCCTCTCTTATCCTTAATAAGTTAAATCCTGCTCCATAGGGTGGGGCTTTGACCACTGATTTCCTCCATTATTCTTGTTCTCGAGAGGGAACCTGCAATGAAATGTTTGTCCTTGTGGGGAACAGGAACTTACTTAATTATGCAGTAATAAAGGGGCAATTCATCAGTTAACTGGGCTGGGCTGAACTGCACAGAAAGCCACTGAAAGCCAAAGATGGGTGGAGGAAGTTTCTAATTAAGGGTACAGTATCCCTGAGAAGCTCAACAGCACTTTCCACGCAGACACACTGGGGGCACAAGTGCATTTTACTGGGGAAACATCACTGTAAATCAAGTCTGGAAAAAAGATGAGCAGACGAGGAGGAATATCTTACTCCGGAGCTATGCCAGAGATGTTTTGCTCTTCCTGCTCAGCTCCTGTTCCATGTTGCTTGTACGTTCTTGAATGCCGATCAGGGCATCTTCTTTGCGGTGCAGGTAGCAAACATTTTGCTGAACGGGGTCAAGTACGAGAGCGAATTGAACGGATCGAGCGAACTGTCTGAGCAGCCACTTTCAATGAAGCTCCTTTGCTCGACCATCTGCCGGATGCCCAAACCCTTGCGGAACCTCTGCATCAATCACTTCCTAGGTAAACCTGTGAGTTGCTCCTGCTTTTGGCTATATTTGCACATTTGTGGTCCCAAGACTTCACAATGCCTCCAAAGCAGTGCTTTTGCAGGACCACTTGCTGGTCTTCAACGTTTGCCCAAGATGAGGCCCCCATTTTGGCTGACTGCTGCCAAACAGATCTACTGGATAAAATGTGTCTGTCTGTCTGTCTGTGTTTTTAAATCTATTACCCATAGTGGACAAAATACATTTTCTGGGCACCTGAAACTGTCAGCACAGGGATGGGAGGCTCTGTCCATTTTGATTCTCTCAGTTCCTTATTTTTTTTTCCAATCTTAAATTCAGTTCTCCAATTTTTGCAGCTATTTGCATTTAAGTAATCATTTAAAAAATGGACACAGCTTTAAATGCACACTTTTCCATAATATGTGCATGTCTGTATATATTGTTGTGAGAACTGCAATGCACAATGTGGATAAGTACGAATTTTGAAGGATAGTTGTGTTATGGCTCGCATGTTATTTAAGAAAGTGAAAATTTGGCAGATCCATCTTCAAATGTGTACTGAGCTGAGTTTCCCCTTTTGTTGATTTTTATTTATTATTTAATAAATAATAAAATTATTATTTGCCACTTTCACAGTTATTTGTTGGACGCATGACACTGGCTGTTTTAGTTTAAGCATGCTGTCTTGATTGTCCTGGAAAAGCCATTTCCCGGATAGCCTGGGAGAGAGAGGAACACACGAAAGAGCTGAGGGTTAAAAGAATCTACAGCCTTTTTGGCCTTGCAATTTCGAACTAGTGGGGAGAACCTTAGGGATGCAACCTGGTACCTAATTCATAGTAGAGGCTCTATTATCAATTAGCAAATGTCAACAACAGTGCCGGCATTGTGGAATGGGTGAGACTGCAAGTTAAATGGCAGTGGTGCCATCAGAAAAACTTCAGGGTAGGTGTCAAATAGCCCCATGCAGCAGAGGCTGTTTTTCTGCAAGGGTTATTCAATCAATTTTTTAAAAAATTATACAAATCATTGCTTCTCTATATAGCCCCAGGGTTGCCACGTCCTTTGAAGCAGGCTGCCTTGCATAACCGCCGCTTGATTTTCTCGCCTTCCAAACTGTGGCGCCTCCCTCACTGTCTTCCAATTCCTCCCCCAGGCTGGCTCTCCTTTGAAGGGATGCTCTTGTTCTATACCGACTTCATGGGGGAGGTGGTCTTCCAAGGGGACCCCAAAGCCCCTCACGATTCTGCAGAGTATCAGAAGTACAACGCTGGAGTCACCATGGGCTGCTGGGGCATGTGTATCTATGCATTCAGCGCCGCCTTCTATTCAGGTACAAAACCTCTCCGGCCTTCGCCATGGAGCAGTTTTTTTGCAGGGCACATGCTGTCTGGTTCTGGACATCGCCGTGGCTTTGCATAACATCTGCGCACATTCATGTATGTGAATGTATAAACACACGGGGCTGATGCTCCTACTCAGTTTGCTCTTCCCACCCACCCCTGAACCCCCTGCCCACAGCCCCCCTCCCCTTAAGGTAAAGGGACCCCAGACCATTAGGTCCAGTCATGGCCGACTCTGGGGTTGTGGCGCTCATCTCGCTTTATTGGCCGAGGGAGCCGGCGTACAGCTTCCGGGTCATGTGGCCAGCATGACTAAGCCGCTTCTGGTGAACCAGAGCAGCTCACGGAAACGCTGTTTACCTTCCTGCCAGAGCGGTACCTATTTATCTACTTGCACTTTGATGTGCTTTCGAACTGCTAGGTTGGCAGGAGCAGGGACCGAGCAACGGGAGCTCACCCTGTCGCGGGGATTCGAACCGCCAACCTTCTGATCGGCAAGTCCTAGGCTCTGTAGTTTAACCCACAGTGCCACCCGCGTCCCTCCCCCCCCTTACTCCTTGCCAAAGACACTCCGCTGAGCCTAGAATGAAAGATGGCCCCAGGCATGCCTTCCTGGGTAGAATATTCTGCAAGCATCCCCCTTTCTTCTTGCCAAACCTTTGCAGCTTGCCCACGCCACCCTGCCACCCTCTCTCTCTCTCTGCCCTGCTGCTGCTGCAAGCCCAGCTTCGCCACTCTCCGCTTCTGTCAATAGACAGGGAGTTCCAAAGGGTGGGTGCTGCCACACCAAAACAACAATTTCTTCCACACGATGGCAGGGCTGGGGGAACTGTGGCCCCCCAGATGTTGCTGGGCTCCAGCTCCCATCACCCCATGTTTGAAAGCAACATGTGTATTCCCCACTCACTGTTATGGCAGGCTGCAGTCCAACACACATGTAAATAGCAGCAGTTTTGAATCATAGGGTTGTAGAGTTGGAAGGGACACAGAGGATCACGTAGGCCCTGCAATGGAAGAATCTCTATCATATATGACAGGTGACCATCCAACCTCTGTCTTGAGAGCACTGTAGAGGAAGGGCCAAAACAGATGAATGTTTAAAGGCGAGGTGACTTTGGATATTGCTGACCTACAACGCCCATCATTACTGAACGTTAGTATTACTGGCTGAGGGCGTTGAAGTTTATAATAATAATAATAATAATAATAATAATAATAATAATAATAATAATAATAATTTATTAGTTACAGATAGGTAGCCGTGTTGGTCTGCCATAGTCAAAACAAAAAAAAATTCCTTCCAGTAGCACCTTAAAGACCAACTAAGTTAGTTCTTGGTATGAGCTTTCGTGTGCATGCAAGTGTGTGTATCTGAAGAAGTGTGCATGCACACGAAAGCTCATACCAAGAACTAACTTAGTTGGTCTTTAAGGTGCTACTGGAAGGAATAATTTATTATTTATACCCCGCCCATCTGGCTGGGTTTCCCCAGCCACTCTGGGTGGCTTCCAACAGAACACTAAAATACAATCACCTGAGTTTCCCCTCAGGCCACAGCAATATGCACTGGATCTGCTCGAGAGAATAGTCAACGTCCTTCCTTTTCATTCCACAGCCTCCCTGGAAAAACTGGAGGAATATTTCAGCATCCGCACGCTGTATTTTATAGCCTACCTCGCCTTCGGGCTTGGCACAGGACTGGCGACGCTGTCGCGGAACGTCTACGTCATTTTATCGCTGTGCGTCACTTACGGGATTTTGTTTTCGACACTCTGCACGCTTCCGTACTCGCTGCTGTGTGACTACTACCAGAGTAAAAAGGTGAGCCTCGGGTTTGGCGGCCCCCAGTGTATCGCTGGGGGGGGGGTTCCATCTCACGGGTATCAAAAATATACTTGGCACTGTGGGTCGAGGGATGTAGAGGAAGGAAGGGGAACCTGCAGCCCTCCAAAATGGCTGTCCTCCCTGCCTTCCGTCCCACCACTCCCAAGGGGTACCAGAAACCGTTTTCCAACCAGAGGCTTTTCCCCCTGTCCCCTGAACAGTTCGCGGGATCGAATGAAGACGGCACCAAAAGAGGCATGGGGGTGGACATTTCCCTCCTGAGCTGCCAGTATTTCCTGGCGCAGATCCTCGTCTCCATAGTGATGGGGCCTTTGACAGCTGCCGTGGGCAGCGCCAACGGGGTGATGTACTTTTCCAGCGTGGTCTCCTTTGTCGGCTGCCTGTATTCGTCCCTCTGCGTCGTCTACGAGATCTCGCCAGGCGAGGAAACGGCCGAGGAGCAACAGCCGCTGATTCTGAGCGTGTGAAGCTGGCGGGAGGGGGATCCCGCGCCACGGTGCTGTGCAAGAGACAGTGGAAGGGGGGGGCCCACGGAGCAGTGTCCTTAATAAACAAAAACCACACACAAACCACACATGACTCCTTTTGATGTCTTTAAGTGAAGGAGAGGAGTGGCAACCTCAGAAATGCAATCCTGCTCATGTCTACTTAGAAGCAAGTCCTGCTGAGTTCAGTGGGGTTCAATCCCAAGTAAATAGGTCTAGGGTTGAAGTCCAAGGATGCTCCTAGGTTGTCAATGCTCTGTGAGAGGGAATCAAGCATGTGAGAGGGTTCAAGTACTCGACAAATCCACTGAAGGTAAGGGAGCTTTTTTGTAGGTTGGAAAGTGTGGGGTGAAGAAATTATTAACCAAAAGGGAGCAGCTCCCTCCAGGCATCTTTCTTATTCTGTATTCAATTGTAGAATTGGAAGGGACTCCCGAGGGTCATCCAGTCCAACCCCCGGCAACGCACGAATCCTGCCCACAGCCATCCCTGAGTGGGCTTGAACCACCAACCTTCTGCTTAACAGCTAGGCACACTGACCCATTGTGCTACCTGAGATTTGTGCTCATGATTATACCTGAGCAAACCTGCTTTCAAGACCATTTGCATGTGCAAACGTTTTAGGACGGGCATATTGCTTCATTTCCAATCTGGGCATTTCCTTTCGCTTCCTGCTGAAATCCTGGGACTCTTCATATCACAAATATCCCAGGCTGCCCTGATTTTGTTGCACTATGGCTCCAGGCAGCAATAATGTGGCAACACCAGGCACATTCAGACATGGGCTGTGTTGTCTTGGTTTTCACAGTTGTAATGCTAGCTAGCGCCTCTGTCCTGTCTTCTGATGTTCCTTTCCCACTGCAAGGAAGGACCTGTTGTGTTATGGAAATGTGGCTTTTTGATCAACATACCAGCTTGTCACCAGCTAAATTTCATTCACAACAGTGGGTGCGGTCAGACACAATGACGAATGTCGTTGGACAAAGTTGCCCCTACTCCACCTTTTCCGCACATGCATGGTTCTGTTCTCACATGTAAACAGGGATAACTGAATGCAGGCAGGGCCGGATTTAGGTTTGATGAGGCCCTAAGCTACTGAAGGTAATGGGGCCCTTTATATGTCCAGCTGTCCTTTGTCAACAACAAATTGTCACTGTTTTTTTGTGTTGAATATATGCTATATGGTAATTTATGGACCTAATAGGTGTCTAAAGCCATTTGCACATGTTGCCATGCAAAGAGTCCATGCAGAATGTAAGCACCCTATATACAGAAATGAGCAAACCAGTGATATTTTAGGGAACAGGCTAGCAGGCGGGGTCCATTACTTACATCATAGAAGCCTATACAACACAAAACACTGTTGCTGTATATAGGTTTTATTTTATTTGTTTTTTATCTTATACAGTGGTACCTTGGGTTAAGAACTTAATTCGTTCCGGAGGTCCATTCTTAACCTGAAACTGTTCTTAACCTGAAGTACCACTTTAGCTAATGGGGCCTCCCGCTGCTGCCACGCAGCTGCTGCGTGATTCCTGTTCTCATCCTGAAGCAAAGTTCTTAACCCGAGGTACTATTTCTGGGTTAGTGGAGTCTGTAACCTGAAGCGTCTGTAATCCAAGGTACCACTGTATTTTGGAAACGAACATCCAGGGTTTGTTTTCTTTACATTTTTTTTGGGGGGGGGCAAGAGAGTGGGGCCCTAAGCTATAGCTTGTTTAGCTTATACGTAAATCAGACACTGAATGCAAGTATACTGTATACCGCTTCAGATTTTGCCACTTTACTCCTGCAGTTTTCTCAGTTAGTAGGCTGGTTTGTTTGTTTGAAAAATGTAACCCGTCATTTCAAACAAGCAGCCCAGGGGTAAGGAACCTTCCTTCCCAAAAGCCATATGCCTCTGGAAGTGATCTGCTGGAGCATCACAGCAGTGCTCAAAGCAGTTTACAGAAATCCACAGGGGAGCTAAATAACTTTAAAAAGCATTAGCCATGGGGGGGGGGGAGAGAGCTCAGTGTCGAATCCAATAAATGCCACAACAATATCAATATTAATATTAAAAAAGCAATAAACACATAACAGCTTCCTCTAGTGAACTGTTGGTGAATGAAATGGTCCACTCAGAAGCAAGGAGGCTGTCAGCATACTCAAGGGAGTCCTGAAGATCCAACAAAAATTTTTTAGGGGAAAAGCACTATTGCGGCACAGGGCAGGGAACAGCACAACGAGGACTAGGGTGCTTCTTGGGAAAGAAAAAGCTGAAAAGTTGTGGTTGTCATGGAATATCCTGGAGAAGGAATGGCTAGCTGGTTGGCACACTCCACACTACAACATTTTAGTGTTTTTATGGAGCAGTCAAGTAATTTCGTTGTCCCCGAGAGGGGGCAATGACAATATTATTATTATTATTATTATTATTATTATTATTATTATTATTATTATTATTATTATTATTATTTTGTGGGTTCTCACTTGTAATAAAGGTAAAGGACCCCTTACAGTTAAGTCCAGTCGTGAACGACTGGGGTTTTGGCGCTCATCCCGCTTTACTGGCCGAGGGAGCCGACGTTTGTCCACAGACAGTTTTTCGGGGTCATGTGGCCAGCATGACTAAGCCGCTTCTGGCGAAACCAGAGCAGTGCATGGAAATGCCGTTTACCTTCCTGCCATAACGGTACCTATTTATCTACTTGCACTTTGATGTGCTAGGTTGGCAGGAGCTGGGACCGAGCAACGGGAGCTCACCCCGTCGCGGGGATTCGAACCTTCGACCTTCCGATCAGCAAGCCCTAGGCTCAGTGGTTTAGACCACAGCACCACCTGCGTCCCTTCACTTGTAATAAGGGTAACAATACATGCCTAGCACATCATTCTAAACATTTCACATGCATGCAGTCTTTACAGCAGCCCTGGAAGGTAGGGGTGTGTATTATTATCGCCATACAGCAGATGGGATTCATGTTACAAGAAAGGAGATTCCGACTAAACATTAGGAAGAATTTTCTGACGCCAAGAACTCTTTGATAGCAGGAAGAGCTCCCTTGGAAGGTGGCAGGCGGATACAATTAAATCACCACACACTTTAAAAATAAAATTATCAATATGCACTTGCATAATTAAGAATAAATAGATATAAGCAGTAGTTACAGGTAGGTAGCCATGCTGGTCTGCCGTAGCCAAAACAAAATTAAAAAATTATACATGATAAGCTATTTTTAACCATCTCACCCCTTGCTTTTTCCTGTAAGACCAATTACAGTCGTTAACAGTCCGTCAACAGGTTTACCACACCTATCAGCCAATCACCCATTCCCACCACCCTTCTGAGTAGTACCCCTCCCCACCCTCTCACTATATATAAAGGTCTGGTGACTTCTGTTTCAGTGTATCTGAAGAAGTGTGCATGCACACGAAAGCTCATAGCAAGAACAAACAGTTGGTCTCTAAGGTGCTTCTGGAAGGAATTTTTTTAGATATAAGCAGCATGTACATATCCGCTGAAAGGAGATTGCTACATAGCTCAGTCGGTAGAATATGGACTCTTAATCTCTGGGTTGTCAGTTCGATTCCTGCATTGCAGGGAGCTGGATTAGATGACCCTCGTGGTCTCTTCCAGCTCTACATTTCTGTGATTATTATTATTATTATTATTATTATTATTTTAAAGGATAGCTGAGGCTGCAATGCTACACAGTGTATATTACACATACTTACCTATGAGTAAGCTCCGCTGGTCTCAATGATGCTTACCTCTGAGTAGGCACTGTGTGGGCATCTCCTTAGCTCAGCGATAGCCTGGTGAGCTCCAGATGTTCTTGCCTACAATCCCCATAATTCCTCACTGTTAACTAATTGGGGTTGGAGTCCAAAGCTAACCGGTCTAAACGCAGAACCAACCAACAGCTGGCATCCTCATTTCCCCGCCCCAACTTTTCTTGTCGGCCAATAAAATTCCTCCCGTGCGATGTCATCCGCGCCCATTGATTGGCTTGAGTTCGGAGAGCCCCGCGTGAATGGGGAATCTGGAAGTGGGCGTGGCTCCCTGCCCAGCTGAGCGTTCTGTTCTGAGGTCGGTGTTAATCGTGCTCAGCGATCAGATCAGAACGAGCTCTGCTATTGTCCGGTGAGTCTCTCTCAATGCAAACTACAAAACGGATAACACGAAGGGATGCTGTTAGCGGGAGGAAATCACTTTAAAACAAACAAACCAGGGTGATGGTCTCAAAGCATCGCCGCAAAGCTTCCCCGACGTTAGTTTCAGGTTTAAGATACTGTACTTCCCTCCTCTCGCTGTTTAGCCAGCGCTATGTGGGATGTGGCGAGCTTGCATTTTTAAGGTGTATTAAATGCTTTTACACCCCACGTTTCCTCCAAGGAGCTCAAGGTGGAAAGATGGTGGGGCTTAAATTTTTAAATATTAAATATTTACCAGGATTTGTATTTTGCCTAATAATAGTAATGGTAATACCATCTGTAAGCGGTTTACATAAAATAATATAAAACGTTCATTAAAAAAATAGCTTTTTCTTTATTTTCCATCTCTCTTCCTTCTCCTTCTTTCGATTTATCCTTTTCTTGTATTTTCCTCCTTCTGGCTTAGCTACTTAATCTAAAAAAAGAGCAGTTTTATTTCGGCATATCATAAAAATATACTTTGTAATGGGTATGTATATGTGTATCTTTGAATAAGTATCAACAAATAAAATAAAATAAATGAGACAAAAGTTATTAAAATACAGGTAACGTGTTGTAGCCGACGTTCAAATCAAAGTAGACTCGTTGAAGTTAATAGGTTATTAATAACTTGGGTTATTAATTTCAATGGGTCTGCTCTGAGCAGGACTAATGTTGGATGCCACCCGAAACTAGCAGTTTTAAAAACAAATTGGACACACTTTATTCACAGAAGCATAGAAGATGGCTCTCATATCACCTCTCGGTCTTCTTTTCTCCAGTCTAAACATACCCAACTCCTTCAGCTGTTCCTCATAGGGCTTGGTTTCCAGACCCATGATCATCTTGGTTGCTCTCCTTTGCACACTTTCCTGCTTGTCAATATCCTTCTTAAACTGTGTTGCCCAGAACTGGATACAGGATCTGACTAAGGCAGGATCTGTTACTCCCACTGATCTGGACACTATACTTCTGTTGATCCAGCCTAGAACAGTGTTAGCTTTTTTTTGCTGCTGCATCACACGCCTGACTCTCGTTAAGCTTGTGGTCTACTAAGACCCCTAGAACTTTCCTATATGTACTGTGCTGCTGTCAACCCAGATGTCCCCCATCCTATATTTGTCCCTATTGGAATTCATTTTCTTAATTTTGGCCTAGTTCTCCCATCTGCTAAGGTTATGTTAAATCCTTGAATCTTGACTCTGTCTTATGTGGTGTTAGCTACATTTCCTAATTTGTTTTTTTTTTTAAAGATATTTATTAAAAATTTTAAACAATTAAAAAATTTCACAAACTTAGAAAATACAAAAGAAAATACATAGAGATACATAAAAAAAGGAAAGAAAAACATAAAAATCCTGTTTCTAGCTTGCTACCTTCATAACCCTCTTTCCTGACTTCCTCACATCTCCCTTTTCTGTGTTCTCTTTTAAAAAAATCATATTCAGCAATATCTTACCCTCTTTCAAATCTTATTATTATTATACATTTCAACTATTATGTCACCAGTTTTTCCCTTCGTATCATTTCGTTTAATTATACATTTCCTAATTTGGTGTCATCTGCAAGTTTGACAAGCACCCGGCCCAGTTCCTTCAACCAAGTCATTTATAAAGATGTTGAACAACACCGGGCCCAGGACAGAACCCTGTGGCACCCCACTTCTCACTTTTAAAAAAAAAAAATTTTTATTGAATGATTTTATGTTACAAAAAATACAACCATACTAACACTAAATATAATTAAGAAATAAAAATTGCATACATCAATATTTAGTTTATTTACCGTCTTATTTCCTCCCAAACATTCCATACAAAAACACACACATATGTGCAGACACCCACCCACCCCCGCACACCCCCGCACACAAAATGATAATAATGAAAGTAAATATTTCCCCCCTTTTATCTTCCAAAATCTTTTCTTCAACTTTGACTTCCTGTCAAGTCCCTTTGCATATATTTTATCTTACAATCGAATGTACACAAAAAATAAACCTTTCTATATAAATTTTCCAATACATTCTGAAAACATAATACATCCTTAATTGTTGTCCACCTCCTTTTAGTTAATTTATCACTCGAATGCTAGCACGGAGTCAAAACTATTATTGTATTTTTGCACATATCTTCTATAACCATCCCATTTTCCCACAAATTTTTGCTTTGAGTTTCCTCTGAGTTTACTAGTCAATTGAGCCGTCTCCACCAATTTGTGTGATTTGATTTGCCAATCTGTTATTTTGGACCCTCGCGATCTTTCCATCCCTTGGCCACAAGTATACGAGCCGCTGCAGTTGAACAACACCGGGCCCAGGACAGAACCCTGTGGCACCCCACTTCTCACTCTTTTATGGGATGACAAGGAACTATTGGTGAGCACTGTTTGGGTCAGTCAGCCAGTTTCAAATCCACCTAACTAATATTGTCTAGCTAGCCTACATTTTACCAGGAAGCTCTACTGAAATCAAGATACGCTACACCCACAGCATTCCCCTGATCCAGCAAACTTGTAACCCCAAAAAAGAGAAAAGAAATAAGATTAGTCTGGCATGACTTGTTTTTCAGAAACCCATGGTTGGTCTTGGTAATCAAAGCATCTTTTTCAAAGTGCTCACAGACCGACTGTTTAATTCTGTTCTAGGACCTTTCCTGTTATCTACAGCAAGCTGACCAGTTGGTAGTTGCCTTTTTGAAGATGGGAGCAAAACCTTCCTGCTTCCAGCCCACAGGGACTTCACCTGTTCCCCAAGAATTCTCAAATGTTAGAGGAGGAAGCTCTGAGATTACAAATGTGAGTTCCTTTGGTAATCCTTGAACACGGCTCAGCAGACCCTGGATAGGTGTTGGACAATTCTACCTTCTCTCTGACACCCAATAGCATTTCTTCATCTTCTCCATGCAGAGGACCTTCTGCTTGCTTGCTTGTTCTTCCTCTTGCTTCAAACATAGCTGCAGAAAACCATTTATTATTATTTTTAATCTCTCTTGCAAGCTCGTTCTGAGCTTCTCCCTGCAAGCGTTGACTACTCATTTCTACATCATGATTTGCCTCTTCTATACATGCCCGTTTTAAATCTAAGAAAAATAAAATAAATGTTTTTATTGATTAGTTTAGGGTAATTTGGAATTTGATATTGAGTATAGAATTCTACTTTGTGAGACCCTCCTCCTCCTCCTCTTCTTCTTTTTAAATATATATCAAGTTTCTAGACCTTATGACTGAGAAGTAGGCTTGAAATTGTAAGGACATTGTAGGACATTTTAGAAGCTGATGATTAAGGCCTGAGGCTTCACAACCTCTTGACATTTCCCTGAATCGCTGCCAAGATTAGCAAAGGAAGCCAGGAAATGCAAACAAAGCAGGCATGTACGGTAAGTAAATTGTGGTTTGAGGATAGTTTCATTTCCTGAATTCTCTCTGCAAAAGTTCTTTTCATTTTCTTTCTTTCTTTTAAAAAATAGGTCGTTTCGTTACATATAACAGTACAAATGTTTCAGAGGTGCAGAAACAAACAATGGCCTTGCATGTTTGACATCTTGTGGCTCACAATTTAAGAAGGAGAATGTTGCAGAGCAGAAACATGGCTATTGCGGGGAGATAAAAAGAAAGCTATGATTAATATGATGATGATTCCCTGGAAGTACATTGAAGCTGTCAGCAATAAATTCTGGGATGCATTCAAATCCAGATAAAGCCATAACTTTGCAGGAACTTCCCAGCCGTAAGCTTGTCCTAAGTTGTTGTTTCCTTGACGCAGATGGAAAGCAACACTGAGATGTCTCGCCAAGTCACTGTTCTCGTGATTGGAGCTGGAAGTCGGGGAAGGAATTATTCCTCTTTTGCTCAGCAGTTTCCTGCACGCATGAAGGTAAGAGCAGCTCAGGGATCTTCTGGGGCTTGTGAACACACCCTTCTACTGATGTCAAAATAGCTCCAGGTGCAGTGGACTTCAAACCAAACACTTGATACTCATCCCCCCCCCAGCAAATGCCCCATTTTTCTGCACTGCGATTTTTGCATAGCACAAACACACAGACCAATGATTTGCAATTCATGATTTTGCCAGGTCAAAAATTATGAAACCGCTATCACAATATGGACTTTAAACTGGTTTTGGACAATACAGTGGTACCTCGGGTTATATATGCTTCGGGTTACAGACGCCGCTAACCCAGAAATAGTACCTCAGGATAAGAACTTTGCTTCAGGATGAGAACAGAAATCGTGCTCCGGCAGCAGCAGGAGGCCCCATTAGCTAAAGTGGTGCTTCAGGTTAAGAACAGTTTCAGCTTAAGAACGGACCTCCGGAACGAATTAAGTACTTAACCCGAGGTACCACTGTATATCAATATATCAACCAATATATCAAACAGGTGCGGAGAGTATTGCTGTCACTCAGGCTTCCCGTGGGCATCTGATTGGCTGCTGTGAGCATAGGATGTTGAACTAAATGGACCACTATGCTTTCCATGGTACAGTCGTACCTCGGAAGTCGAACGGAATCTGTTCGGCTTCCAAAACGTTTGGAAACCAAAGTGTGGCTTCTGATTGGCTGCGGGAAGCTCCTGCAGCCAATCTGAAGCTGCAGAAGCCCCGTCGGACATTCGGCTTCCAAAAATTGTTCGCAAACGGGAACACTTGCTTCCGGGTTTGCGGTGTTTGGGAGCCAAAACGTTCGAGAACTAAGCTGTATTGAAATAGCCTGCATTG